AGATAGAAGCACCAACAGATAAATGTGTTTCAGCTCATGCTTTCAATCTGTTGCTGCAAACTTAAAGGTTGTTTTGATCACAGAACTTCCACACTGTTAAATCATACTCTGCCAGGTAGAAACTATGATTAGTYAGAAAGGGAACGTGAACAAATACCTGTTGTTAACTCYGRACACRTACATGCAKCAGCTGTTTTTGTTTTGGTGCAGAAACATTGAGGAYGTGCAGCGAGTTCCCCTCAGTMTTCTTTTCTGTTTAAATTATCCCACACTTTTCATAGTTTCTGTCRTTTTCTGAGCGCCTCGTTTCAGGACTCTTTGTCTCCTTCCATTGCTAAAAATAGTACTTAGCATAACACGTGTCAATAGTGTAACCGCTAGCAGAAGCGCTAACGTCGTAGCATTGTGTAACTCAAATAACATTCTGGCCGGCAAAAGTGCGTTGGATTTTTAGTAATCGAGTTACTCAAATTATTCGAGGAATCGTTTCAGCCCTAGTTGCAGGACCAAACTGCAAAAGGATTATTCCTGAAAACGGCTGATGAGCCAGTCGTCATCGTGGATCAGAAAATTCTGTGTATAAATACAAACTCTGTGTGTTACACTATTTATTTATCCTCCAGTAAGGCTGAATCCGTTCCTGGTAAATGTACTTTTGGCACAACTTTGCGCATCTTTTATTTAACTGCATCCATGTGGGTGTAATTGTTAATCATGTGCGTCTGGTGTGAACAATGATCATTTTCACATCATGAACAGTTTCTCAGAATCACATCTAAGTGTCTCCAGTGGAACCAGAAACGTGTACGCCAGCCCTGGAGTTGGCCTGGGCTGCGCACATTTCCACGTTCATTTCAGTTCTGATACATCTGGAGTTTTACGCATGAAATGGTGACGCAAAGTTTTTGTGCGTACGCACCATTGAAACACGAGGCTCCAGGTCCAATATTGTTCAGAAGCATAAAATGTGATAAAAACTAACTTTATTGAAGTTTCAGAAATCAAAGGTTTCATCAATCCAAAACTTTTTTTTTTAAATTCTTGTATAAATACAGGTTAATCTAGTCCAAGTTTTTAGTTTTTAAACTACAGCAGATTAAAGATGCTCAAGGTAGTGAAAAATTAGGTGGAATCACCTTTTAGCCATTTTCTAGAGACTAACTTCAGCTTCGTGGAAACTAATTTATCAAAAAGGAAAGTTTGAAGTCTCAAAGTAGAAGAAAGAAAGAAAAGATTTCTCTTCAGCTCTGAGTTTTTGAGTCTTTTGTTTGTTTCTGAAGTTAAAAACCAACAAGATCCTGACTGTCTGAACATTTCTGTTTCATATTTAATCTCCTTGTTTTGTCTTTTTGTCCTTTCAGACCTCCAACAGGAACCGGTCCACAAGAAGCTCTGCAAGCAGGAGAGGAACTCCAGCCTGGACCAGGAGGGACCAGAGCCTCCACAATTTAAAGACCACGAGGAACCAGAACCTCCACAGTTTGAGGACCAAGAGGAACCAGAACTTCCACAGTTTGAGGACCAAGAGGAACCAGAACTTCCACAGTTTGAGGACCAAGAGGAACCAGAACTTCCACAGTTTGAAGACCAAGAGCACAGTTTGA